TTTTAAACCAACTGGTGCAGCCACTTCTGGAAGGGTGCACACAGTGTGGCCGCAGCGGCGTCTCCGTCCCAGGAGGCCGCAGCCGTCCCCCAGGTGGGAACGGGGACCTGGCCGCATGCCCTTCATGGGGGCGGTCAAGGGTGGTCCTTCCCTTTAGACAGAGCGGCCGCTTGCGTCGCTCCCAGTCGGGCTGTTTGGCACCCCCTCCCCCCGTCACTCCTGTGCGAGCCCCTCAGCACCCCCGGATCACAGCCAACGCTGCTGCTGCTTTTTAAAAATCTTCTCCTGAGGGTATTTTCCCCATTGATTTTATTTATTTATTTATTTTTAAAATATATTTTATTGATTTTTTACAGAGAGGAAGGGAGAGGGATAGAGAGTTAGAAACATCGATGAGAGAGAAACATCGACCAGCTGCCTCCTGCACATCTCCCACTGGGGATGAGCCGCAAGCAAGGTACATGCCCTTGACCGGAATCGAACCTGGGACCCTTCAGTCCGCAGGCCGACGCTCTATCCACTGAGCCAAACCGGCTAGGGCCATTGATTTTTTTTAGAGAGAATGGAGGGGAAGGAGGAGGGGGGAGAGGGAGATGGAGAGAGAAACATGGATGTGAGAGACACATTGATTGGTTGCCTCCCATTTGCACCCTGTCTGGTTCGATCCCAAGTCAAGGGCATGTACCTGGGTTTCAGGTTTGCTCCCCGACCCTGGTCGGGGTGCCTGCGGGAGGCAACCGGTTGATTAACTGTCTCACATCAATGTTTCTCTCTCTCCCCCACTCCCTTCCACTCTCTCTGCAAAGCAATGGAAAAAATATTCTCAGGTGAGGATTAACCAAATAATAATAATAATAAGTAACCAGCAGTGCCGGTAGGAGGGGTGACAATGGTACCTGGTGCAGAACTGAGTTCGCTCCCCTGGTTACCCCAGCGTGGCTTCTCCCTGCCCCGGGGGTGGGGGGCGGCCTGCACCCAGCAGTCCTGGCAGGCGTGTGGGTGGCACGTGAGACGCTGAGCCGACTAGCACTGGGTCACTGCTTTGGGAACATGGCTGTAGCTTTAAATTCCAGTCTCAGACAGTTCCACTCGTAAGAAGGGTTTGTCAGGTCAGCGCAAGAATGTTTGTCTCCGAACTGGTACTTCCCACGTCCAGAGATTTCTGTGACATCCACCCCGTGGACGTGGGGGTGACTCAGCCTCGCCCGGAATGTGCAAACGTTCCCTCTCAACCCCGAGCAGGGGGGCTGGTTCCTGGCGAATTCCTGCCACTCAAGTGCCGGTCCCATTCTTGAGGCGGGGCTCGCCCCCTAGCGGAGAAGGCTGGCACCTCTGGATTCTAGCCGATGGCGCGCCCACAGGAGGGTGAGAGAGACCCAGGCTTGTTCTTGGATTATGGCTATTATTGTTTTTTGTCCTGGGTGAGGAAGACGATCCAGTGTGAGGGGTTCAGGGGGACCCGCTGACGAACTGGTGGCAGGGGAGGCAGCCCCATCCTCCGGCCCTTACCCCGACCCCACACCGGTCAGCAGATGGTCCTCAGCCACAGCCACAGCACACAGCTGCAGAGAGGAACCTGCCCGCGGCTCACCAGCCGGCACGCGGCCCCCCCTGCCCTGTTTCCAGGTGAGAACACAGCCCTCGGCCCCGACTGTGGCTGGCGAGACCGTGAGCTGGTCCTTGCGAGCCGCCTGGACTCGTGACCCGAACCCAGGGTGTGATAACAAACACCCGTCGCTTTCAGCCACCAAACAGCGGCACTTCGTTCCATCGCAATAGGAACCAGTCGGCAAAGTGGGAAGAAAGGCTCTCTGACCTTCCCGCTCCCGAGCCCCGGGGCTCCTTTTAAAGTGGCAGAACGGCCCAGCCGGCAGGGCTCATTGGCTGAGCGTCGGCCTAGGAACCAGGAGGTCACGGTTCGATTCCCGGTCAGGGCACAGGCCCCGGGTCGTGGGCTTGATCCCCAGTGGGGGGCGTGCAGGAGGCAGCCGATCCATGATTCTCTCTCATCATGGATGTTTCTCTCTCTCCCTTCCTCTCTGGAATCAATTAAATATATTTAAAAACAAATTAAAAAATAAAGTGGCAGAATGGTCAGCAAGTCAGTCACTCTGCACCTCACAGCTACTTCCTTCCCTTCCTGCCTCTGGCTCCTGCCTGGCCCACACTGCCGGGGACCACAGCCAGGGAGGTGGCATCCCCAGCGGGAGGGGTGTTTCTGTCGGGGATCCCACCAAAGAGCCCCAAGAATGCAAAGTCGGGCTGGGCTCCAGGGGCCTCAGGGGGTCAGTGATGACAAATTGACTCACGTCGCCACTGCTTTCCGCCCTCAGACAGCACAAAGGTGGGTGCTATGGTCTGAACGTGCCCCCCGGAATCCACATGGTGGAACCTCCCCCCAAAATGATGGCAGCAGGGACGGGCCTTTGGGAGGTGTTAGCTCACACGGGTGGAGCCCTCACAAATGGGGTTAGCGCCCTTATAAAGGGGCCTCGGCACACCCCTTGTGCTGACCTGACACAGCCACATGAGGACCAGGGAGGAGCTGGCCGTGCATGAGCCGGAGGGGGACCCCCCAGACACCACACCGTGTCTGCCAGCATCTGACCTGGGACTTCCAGACCCCAGGCCGGGAAGTAACACACCCCTGCTGTTTACACGGTCACACGCCGCCCGTAGCTCAGCCAAGAGCAGACGGAGACGATGGAACCAGCTCCACCGAGACCGTTGCTCACGGGAAAGTCAGCTGACACCCGGGTATTCCCTTCAACATCACTTTATTCTCCGTTATGCAGAGCCGTGGGAGAGAAAACACCCCGTAGATTCTTCTGGAAGCTGTCAAGACGCTGGGAAGATGAACGAGAAGCTGACGTAGATCGGGCTGCCCACAGTTTGGATTTGTAAGACCTACAGGATGAAGCAACGCAAAGGCAGTGGGGCTGGAACAGGAGCTCGGGGCCCCGCGGAGGGGAGGCCCTTCGCTCTCAACTCTGGCTGCTCATTTGAGTCACCTGGCGAAGGCCTTTAAAATACACTTAAAATGTTTAAGTATATGCCCGGCTGGTGTGGCTCAGGGGTGGAGCATCGACCCATGAACCAGGAGGTCAGGGTTCGATTCCCGGTCAGGGCACAGGCCCGGGTTTCGGGCTCAATCCTCAGGGTGGGGTGTGCAGGAGGCAGCCAGTCCATGAGTCTCTCTCATCATTGATGTTTCTCTCTCTCTTCCTCTCTGAAATCAATACAAATATATTAAAAAACAACAACAAAACCTGTAGTGATTTGTACCTTAATGGAACTGATTAGAGAGAGAGAGAGAGAGAGAGGGGGGGGGGGGGGAGAAACGACCACTCACTTGGCTCTTGCAGGTTGGCCTGACGAACTGGAACTTCTGCAGGACGGGCTTGGTCCCGAAATCCTGCCACTGGCCATCCACCCACGCATGCGCCCTGATCTCGTACTTGACCAGGCGCTGGGGCCACAGGCTGACCAGGCCGTGCTCGCAGACCTCGGAGGGGATCCCCACGTCCGCCGGCCTGATTCTCTGCAAGGAGAGCCGCCGCCTCAGGGGGGGCTGACTCTGCGGCCCCTGGCCCCTGGCCCCTGGCCTCCTGCGGAGTGCTCGGACCAGGCAGGCGTCTCCCAGAATCCCACTTCCTGGGCGCCTGCTGCGGAGTCAGCTGCCGTCTGAGCCCTGGCCACGTGCCAACCGCTGGCCGATGGACCGGGGTTCTGCCAACCCGGACTAACCGAGCTCCTTGACCTGGAAGGTCTTCATGGCGCTTTGCCAGAACGTAAACACCCATGTGGCTCAGTGGTTGATGTCACCTCGTGAACCAGGAGGTCACGGTTTGATTCCTGGTCAGGCCACAGGCCCAGGTTGTGGGCTCGATCCCCTGGGGGCACTTCCTGTTGCCTCCACAGGCAAATGACCACCTCAAACCACCGTCCATCGTGTAGGAAATGAAGAGGAACTAAGCCCCACACATGGAGCCAGAGCCTAGAATCCCCTCGTCCCACTCCCCCCGCAGCTGTGCCATAGAGGCACGTGACCAGGAAGGCACTCAGCCTGAGGGCTGCACCTGCTACATGAGCTCACACTAGTTGCAATCAATCAAACGCATCAGGTCTGTGAGAGGGACTAGCACCAGCCTGGCGGCCCACTCCGCTAGCCACTAAGTAACGACTGCTCGGCTGTTATTGATGTGGGTGGCCTGGGCCCCGAGGCCGTCTCGGGGGACCCCCCGCCCTGTCGCCGCCCCCTCACCTGCATGTAGAAGCTGTAGGAGGTGCTGTTGTTTCGGATGCCCCTCATGGCAAAGAAGAACCCGTAGATGGCAATCATTTCCGAATACGACGTGTACTCCTAAGTTGGGACAGAAACGACAACGTGACGAGGGAAATCCGCAGCGTTCACAGGCCAGGGGACAGCCCGGCCGGCGGGCTCAGTGGTTGAGTCTTGACCTATGAACCAGGAGGTCAGGGCACATGCCCAGGTTTCGGGCTCGATCCCCAGTAGGGGGCTTGCAGGAGGCAGCCAATGGATGATGTTTCTCTCTCATCATTGATGTTTCTCTCTCTTCCTCTCTGTCTGAAAGTCAATAAAAAATATATTAAAAAAGAAAAAATAGGTTCACCCTCGCAACCTTAAACACAGGCTGGAGCGGTTTCTCTCACGGAGCAGAGGCTCTCTGTGTGGGGGGGGTGGGAGCCCTAACCCAGCCTGCCCAGGCCTTTCCCAGTTTTAGAACAGAAAGCCCAGCATCCCAGGGACACGCCCCCACCCCTGGAACCGGAACAGCGGGCCACCCTCGGGAAAACGTTGGACGTGCCCATCGGGTCACTGACGGGCCTGTCCCTGGCCCCTGTCTTGGGAAGTTTATTTCCTGGGGGGCGGTGAGCGTGCGGAAGAGGCCCCTCCAGCTTCCTCTTCTGCCCCGGGCTTCGCACCAGAGGTCAGAGGGATCCTGCCACGATCCCCGCCCACGCCCAGCGCCAGTACCTTATAGAAGAGCAGCCCGAACCTCACCGCCTGGTGGGGGAGGTCTTTCGCGAAAGCCATGTCGCCCCCGCACTCCATCTGCAAAGAGAACAGTTTACCGGCAGCCTGATCACCTTTTGAAGATATGTATGTTTATTGATCTCAGAGAGGAAGGGAGAGGGAGAGAGAGAAACATCAGTGAGAGAGAATCATGGATCCGCTGCCTCCCGCACGCCCCCCACTGGGGATCAAGCCCACAACCCGGGCCTGTGCCCTCAGCAGGAATGGAACTGTGACCTCCTGGTTCCTAGGTCGATGCTCAACCACCGAGCCACGCCGGCCAGGCCCTTACATCAGCTCCACCTGAGCTCCCCGGTCCTCACAGCCCCACTGCGCTGGGGGGAGTTCTGTCCCGGGTCCTGCCTTCAGCCCTCGGCCGGACCACGGTGTTCACCGAAAACCTACTCGGTGCCAGGCACCGGCTCATGGCCTTCAGAGAACGCAAAGACAAGAGCGAGAGACGGCCGAGGAGTCGCCCGGAAACAACACGTGACCCGAGTGCCCTGATCACGAGGCAGAGGATGGTCACAGCCACGGCCACGGGCAAAGGGGGCCACGAGGCCAGCTCCACGTCCACGTCCACGTCCACGTCCACCTCCCCCTCCACCACCTCCACCTCCACCTCCACCTCCACCTCCACCTGCCGGCTGGGCTGGGGGAGTGGATTTCAGGAGGCTGACGTTGGTGGCAGGAGTGAAAGGAAGGAGGTGACTGAAGAGGGCGGTGGACACTTCCTGGGACTTCCTCTCCCCTCCCTCCCTCCCCCTGCTCGTCAGAGTCCAGCCCTGAACTAGGTCTCAGAGCAGCTCGGTCCATGGGGTCCTCTCCTGGGGGCGGGGCCTGAGCGCTGTGGTTTGCACGTTACAAAGGCTATTTGTTGAGCTGAACTGCATTTTAACGAGAAACTCAGGCAGCGTCAGAACTCAAACACTGCCCGTTTCATCCCAAACATGTGGGGCTGGAAACGCACCAGAAGCCCAGCCGCTCGCGTGGACCGTTCACAAAGGGGGAAATGCCGCAGGGAGGCCGCGCCCATTCACAGCAAGACAGGCAACGCACACGGAGGCCGAGAGGCCGCTGTTCGTCCTCGGGGAACAGAGGGGACCCCCGTGCCGGCCCGGCGCCCGGGAGGCCGCTCCTCTGTCGCCGTGGGGAGGGGAGTCATTGGGTCCCGCGCTTGTTCACGTGAATTAAGAACAAAAAGGCAGCATTTTCCTCTCTCGAGAACCTGCTGTGAGAGAATGATTCCAGGTGCAGCTGGAGAAACTGCGTGTGTAAATATGTTGACCACACAGGCGTCCATAACAGCCAACTAATCACGAGAAACACCGCACACCTTCTACGGCCAAGGGATGGAGCGCAGCGCGGGCTGCAGGGTCTCCCCCGGGGAAGAGCTGGCAGCCATTAAAAATGGTGTCGGGGAGCCCGGCCGGCGGGGCTCAGGGGCTAAGCGTCCACCTATGAACCAGGAGATCAGGGTTTGATTCCCGGTCAGGGCACAGGCCGGGGTTGGGGGCTCGATCCCCAGTGTGGGGCGTGCAGGAGGCGGCCGATCCGTGATTCTCTCTCATTGATGTTTCTCTCTCTCTCCCTCACTCTTCCTCTCTGAAATCAATAAAAACGTATTTTTATAAAAGGGTGAAAGGCAATAAAATGTAATAAGGTGTTAGCAATGCTTGTCTGTGGATGTTGGATCTGAGGGTATGTATTTGATGTGTATTTTCTTTCAACTTCTCTGCATTTGGAAACATTTCAATAATGAAATGTTCAATAATGTGTCATTGGTGCTCCAGCTGGTTTGGCGCAGTGAATAGAGCGTCGGCCTGCGGACTGAAGGGTCCTGGGTTTGATCAGTGATGTTTCTATCTCCCTCCCTTCCTCTCTGACATCAATAAGAAAATATTTTTAAAAATGAGCTGTGGTGCCTGTTGGGTGTGGCTGGCGAGCCTTGGCCCCGCCTATCCCTCCTGGTCAACAGGACGGATGCTCTAAGCACCTGGGCTGCAGGGCCTCTTGCCTCCCCCCCCCACCTCCCCGTTCCGGTGTGGCTGTGCCACGCCCCCTGGCCGAGGCCCAGATACCCCCACCTCGAAGGCCCAGAGGTTTCAAATGCAAATGCTTCTCCAGAGAAAGCAGTCAGAGAGGCAGTCCATCCGATAATCGCTCTGGCGGAGCCGGCGACTCACCGCGTGGTAATGGTTGGCGGTGACCCGGATCAGCCAGGACTCGGGGAAGAAGTTCAGGTGCCTCAGCACGTCCAGGTCTTGGCCTGGAGGGAACGCAGAGGGAGCGTGTTAATAGAATTGTTCATTGGAGAGTTGCCAGGGTGAGCGGGACCCGTGGGACGTTACAGAGCCCCTCCCCAAAGCGTCCCCCATCCCGCCCGAGGGGGGGCTGAGATCCGATAGTGCCTTCCGAGCGCCTTGGAGCAACTTGGACCAAACTGCCGGGCCCCGTCTCCCGCCCGGGTTCGAGAGCCGTGGGTTTTATCTGGGTAACCGGACGTGGCTGTGAAAACGTTCTCAGCAGCCCGGCCGGTGTGGCTCAATGGTTGAGCATCGACCCAGGAACCAAGAGGCCACCCGTTCGATTCCTGGTCAGGGCACAGGCCCTGGTTGCAGGCTCGATGCCCAGTAGGGCAGGCAGTCGATTGATGTTTCTCTCTCATCGATGTTTCTATCTGTCTCTCTCTCTCCCTTCCTCTCTCTCTAAAAATCAATAAAAGCATTTAAGAAAAGAAAGAAAAAGTCCTCAAATGCCCTTTCAGACACAAAGATCTCGCTGGGTGGCCTGCTGGGCCTCCCCAAACACACTCCCCGGGGTGGTGTCTCCTCCTCTGTCCCAGTCCCAGCTGCCCCCGGGCCCAGCCTGAGGGTGGGGAGCTCCAGGCTGGACCACACACGCCCCAGAGTTCCCCCCAAACTCGGACACGGGCACCCCAAGGGGCCGCCGCCAGGAGGCCGGGCTTGGGAGGCCGTCGGTGGCCCCGGCAGCTTGTGCTCCACGTCCATCAGCCCCTTCCGTCCGCCTCCAAGCTTCCTGGAAGCTCCGCGATGACCATTGTACAGACAGATAAACTGAGCCCAGGCAGCCACTCCCCAAAGCCTCACACGGCTCAGGAGTGACCATGAGGGATCTCAGCGGACACCTTTGGAACCGCCGGGTGGGCAGGTCCCCAACGGCCTCCCACGGACGCACTCCATGTCCTCAGAAGCTCGGCTGGTGGCCCAGTGGTTAGAGCGCGGCCCGGCACCCTGAGTGCTCAGTGGTGAGAGCACAGCCCTGCACCCTGTGTGGCTCAGTGGTTAGAGCGCCCCGCCCCCGCGGGCTCACCTCGGATGATGCCGTGCAGACGCAGGCAGAGGAAGAGCTCCATGAAGCCGTACTCCATGTCCTGGTCCAGGAAGCAGGTCTTCTTGGGGAAGCTGGCGGCGCAGAGAGAACCAAGGCCTCAGAGAGCTGCTCTCTGGAGGAGCGAGGCAGCCAGAGCCAGCGGTGCCTGGCTCTCCTCTGGGGGGGGGGGGGTGGTGAGGGGCAGGTAGGGAAGCCGGAATCCGAGGAGATACCGCCGGCCATGACAGCGAGACAGATGGCTCTGTTCCCCCGCTCCGCCTCCTGCTGAGCCGCGCACATAGTAGGTGCCCAGCAAACACTTGCTAAGTGACCAACGCGCATAGTAGGTGCCCAGCAAACACTTGCTAAGTGACCGACGGGAACACACAAGTCACTTTACAGAGGATTTGAGACTCACGTTCCCACCGAGCCTCCCAGGCTCCCGGGACAGACGGAGGGCGGGTCTCATTGGCTCCACTTTACGGGCGAAAACAGCGGCTCAGCCAGGACTTGGACGTGGGGCGTCTGAGGCCCTCCCGGCACAGGGCCCTTTGACTGGGGGGCCGGCGGAGGCCCTTCCAACGCGCTTCCGGGTAGAACCGAAAAGGACCCCTGGCTGTTGTGGCTCATACGAAGGGTCTCAGGTTCAATTCCTGGCCAAGGGCAGGTCAAGGCCACACACCTGGGTTGCAGGTTCTATCCCCGGCCCCAGTCGGGGTGCCTGTGGGAGGCAACCAATCTCTCTCTCTCTCTCTCTCTCTCCCTCTCCCTCTCCCTCCCTCCCTCCCTCCCTCTCTTCCACTCTCTAAAAATCAATGGAAAAAAAGATCCTTGGGTAAGGGTTAACAACAGAAACTAATAATAAATAACATTTTAACAAGGAACAGGCCGGCGGGTAAGTGACCGGTGTCCGCAGTCACAACACAACTCGCCTCACCTACGGTCGCCTCTCACACGTGGGGACGCGGACGGCGTTCGCCACGTCCCTTTGGAAACGCAGTCACTCCCTCAGGCAGAGCCGGTGCCGGCCCAGGCGCTTCGAGATGATTTTTCCATGAATCAGGTGCTGTCCCGGCAGCCTGAGCGCCCCCCCCCCCGGCCCGGGTCTGCACGGCCGTCATGGTTCCCACAGCACCGGGGAGGCCCCGGGAGGGAGGCGTGGGGGCTGGGGAGTCGGAGGAGGAAGGTGAAGGGCGGGCACCGTGACCCTCAGAGCCAGGGCGACCGCCACCTCCTCGCACCGGGAAAGGCCCGGGCTCAGGCTGGTCAGTGCGGGCACGGCTCTCAGTGGGGTTCATGGTCTCTGCCCCCTTCTACTGGCTGAGCCTGGTCCATCCCAAAGGGGGAAAATGGCCCAGCCCGCGTGGCTCAGTGGTTGAGCATCGACCTGTGAACCGGAAGGTCAGGGTTCGATTCCCGGTCAGGGCACAGACCCGGGTTGCGGGCTCCATCCCCAGTGGGGGGCGTGCAGGAGGCAGCCCATCTGTGATTCTCTCTCATCACGGGTGTTTCTCTCTCTCCCTCTCCCTTCCTCTCTGAAACCAATAACAATATGTTTTTAAAAAGAAAAGGAAAATGGTGGCCTGCACTGCCAACTCCTGAGATCTCAGAGCCTCCACCCCGGCGGTCAGTACCCCTGCTCGCGGGCCGCAAGGCTGGCCGGCACAGCCGGGATCTGCCAGGCCTCCCGAGGCCTCCCAGCCGGGCGCCCGCCGACCGGCCCCTCTCGGCCACCTGGTGGGGACACGCTGCTCCATCCACGTCCGCCCTGTGTCACGTGAAGGGGAGGCGGCGGGCGGCGACCCCTCTGGAGGCTGTCGGTGCATCAAAGGCGGGCAGGCTTCCCCGGCGCTGAGCTGTCTGTGCAAAGGCCTCTTTGGGGACAGCACTGACTTTTCTGGGGCCAACGTTCCAGGGACCACAGACAGGTTCCGCCCTAGCCTCCCCGCGAGTAAATCAGATGAATCAGGTGGGCGCCGGCCGCCCTCCTCACACGTCTTCTCCACTGAAGGCGCGGTGGTCTCTGGGCCTGGACCGTAAACCCCGGGAAGGTGGGGGCGCGGGTCTGTTTGGTTTGCTCCTGTGCTCGGCGCCTCTCACGGGGCCCGGCTCAGCCGCTTGCACACGAGACTGAGCTGGTTGCTCCAGCGCGCCGGCCTCTGTCCCTCCAGCCCAGTGTATCTTCCAGGAACGCCAGCAGTTCCGGCCCCGGTGCTCACACACACGTGCTCACACACACGTGCACACACGGACCAGGCTACTCCATGCTGCTTGTCCCATGCTCAGGGTCCCGTCCGCTGTTGCCATGGTTATCTGTTGGGCCAAGTCTATTGAGATGCAATTCGAGGTCGCCCTGACGATGAAGATGACGATGGTCCTGCCGCTGCCCGAAGGCAGCGCGGGGCCCGGAAATCCTGTCGCAGCCCCCGTGCCCTTCGCAGGGTCTCCGCCGCCAGACCTTCACCCTCCGAGCTCTGCTCGCGGCCGCCGCGTCCTGGGGCTGCCAGGCGACCTGGGAAGCCGAGACGCTACACGAGGAAAGTGCAAGGTTCGGAGGAACAGGCATCGAAGTTCAGGGACCTGGAAGGGGCACTCAGCTCCGGGCAGGCCAGCGAGGGGCGGGCAGTGCTGGGCGGGGCCTGGAAGGGACGCCGAGGGCGAGGACACAGGGTCAGGCATGAGCGGTCGTGCCCGGGGCTGGCGGAGCCACCGGGGGAGAGGACACTTTGCTGGGCCGCGTGGCATGACTCATGGGATATTTTTACAGGAATGTTCTGGTAAGGAAATCAGCAGGGCGGTCATGCCTGGATGCTCCGTTTCATGACGACTTTGCGGCCACATCTGCAAATGGCATTCATTAATCACCGGAGACACGTGGCCTCTGCCTGCCCGGCGCACAGCACCCTAGAGCGCTCCCCGCGAGATGCCGGGGGCCCTGTGCCTGGGGTGGCCCCCTCGGGTGGTCCGTGGCACATGGTGTTGGGTTCGCCAGCTGGTGCACACCCAGGCAGCCAGCCCACGCTCTCGCTGCTGAGAGAGGCTCCGAGGAGGGGACCAGTCTGTGCAGCTGCGACCCGGGAGGGCTCCCTGGAGGAGGCCTCGGCCAGCTCTCCAGGCTGCAGATCCGACGGGCAGAGGCGGGGAGACGTGGCTGCTGGGTGTGGGGACGGCGTGGAAACTGGCTTGCCGGCTGCTTCCAGGGACCCCTTCTCGCATGGTACAAGCACATCTCCCAGGGTCCGAGAGACCATTAAACCCACCAGGACAAGCACTAGGGTCGTGAGCGACGTGCCCTCGGCCCAGGTCTCACAGCAAGAGCGAGTGTGGAGGGCGGCGGGTGAGGGGAGGCATCTGCTTGGCCCCGGGGCTGTGACGGGTTCTGGGTGAGCTTCGTGGGAGCTCCCCCTTCCCTTTAGGTCGGTGCCCTTTTCTGCACATATTTTAGACTCTGATTAAAGATGTCCTTTCACACCCGGCCCGTGTGCTCAGGGGTTGAGCGTTGACCTAGGAACCAGGTCACGGCTCGATTCCCGGTCAGGGCACAGGCCCGGGTTGTGGGCTCCATCCCCCGTGGGGGGCGTGCAGGAGGCAGCCGGTCCATGATTCCCTCTCATCATGGATGTTTCTCTCTCTCTTCCTCTCCCTCCCTCTCTCCCTAAAGCTCAATGAAAACATGCAAACACGTCGCTCTAGAGAGCAAACAGCCGCCTGCCTGGCTCAGCTGCGGGGGGTGGGGGAGTTGGTGGTGGTTTGCAGCTTCCCGGACCCCAGCTATCAGCCGAGCGGAGAGATGGCTTCTCCGAGGGCGACGGCAGCCGCTCGGCACACGTTTGTGTGTGTTTTTCCTGCAGGAAACGTCCCGTGTAATTGGGACAGGCTTGCTGTGTTTCTAAAATAACCATTGCCCGGAACACAGGCTGTGGGAGCCGGGGGGTGTGTTTCCTTCCCACACGGCATCCTCGGGCAGCAGCGAGGACCAGCTGGAGGTGGCTCCTGGCCCCCTAGGCGGTGGAGACACTGCCCCCGCTTCCCATCGGCCGGCGCTCAGCTCGGGAGCAGGAAATGCGGTCAAATGAGTGACAGATGGAAAAAGAGCGACAAAGAAAAGGGTTTCCTCGCAGGGACCAGTGGGGACCCCAGCCCAGGACGCCGAGGACACTCCATATTCTGCGAGGACACCCACGCTCCTGGAGGACACCCCATATTCACGGAGGACACCCCACATTCCTAGAGGACACCTCACATTCACGGAGGACACCCCATATTCACGGATGACACCTCACATTCACAGAGGACACCCCACATTCCTAGAGGACACCCCACATTCACGGAGGACACCCCACATTCACAGAGGACACCCATGTTCGCCAAGGGCTACAGACTGTGGCTCTCTCTGCCACTCGTCCCTCACTGAGGCCACAGCGCAGGGAGCCAGCGCGGGGACTCACTCCCATCCAGGTTCTGAGACGGTGCCGTCTGAGACTAACCCGGAGCCAGGTGGCGACTGTCCTGTGAGCGTGACAGGAAACGCGACCTCTGGGCCATTAAACGTGAAGGGGGGGGAGGATACAACATCTGGTTCAAAGCAAAGATGAGCCCTGGCCGGTGCGGCTCAGTGGTTGAGCGCCGGCCTGCGGACGGATGGGTCCCGGGTTCGATTCCGGTCAAGGGCATGTACCACGGTTGCAGGCTCCTCCCCGGCCTGGGCCCTGGTCGGGCGCATGCAGGAGGCAGCCAATCGGTGTGTTTCTCTCACGTGGCTGTTTCTCCCTGACTTTCCCTCTCTTTTCCACGTTCCCCCCAGAAAAGATCGATGGAAAAATATCCTCGGGTGAGGATTAACAAACAAACAAAACACACACACACGACACAGAGACCGAGCGACGGACGTATCGTTTGGCGCCGATTGCGCTTTCCCCACACAACGAGGCAGGACAGCGGCCCGCGGTGACACGGCGCACGGGTGCCCCAGGAAGAGCTCCCACGCCTGGGCCTGCCTGGCTCCGAGCAGCTCCGGGCGTGGGCACCTTCACTGCGTGTCAGCAGCGGCCGCGGAGACACCGAGGGGCCCAGTAACTCCCGGGGTCACCTCTCTGCACCCTGGTGCCCGGTGGCTGGTCCCCGGCTGCCCGGCGTTCGCCGCTCACAGGCAGGGGACGGGACGCACCGCCAGGCACAGGAGCAGGAATTCCCTAACTCGCCGCCTGGAGCAGCCTCAGGACCTTCTGGACACCCTGCTGTCCCGGGAGCCGCCCGAGCCAGCCAGACCCGCACCGAGAGGAATCCCGGCCTCTGGGATCGGGAGCAAAGCATCTTGGGACTCGGCGGCTCTGGGTGCCAGGCAGACTCCACCCCTTACTGTGCGGGTCTGACCGCTGGTAAGAGGGCCCGTCTCTCCCCCAGTTTCCTCATCTGGAGAATGGGAACAACAAGACCAGCCCCGGAGGAGCGAGGAGCGAGGAGCGTGCAGAGGAGACAAGGTTACACATAGAAGCTCAGCAGAAGCCCTGCCTCTGGGAAGCATCACCAAAGGGTGCTCGCTGTGCTGTAACGAGAGGCCCGGTGCACAGATTCGTGCACTTGGTGGGGGGGGGTCCCTCAGCCCGGCCTGCACCCTCTCGTAGTCCTGGAGCCCTCAGGGGATGTCCGCCCACCAGCTGGCTGCTCCTAAGCACTGCCACTGCCGTGGAGGTGGGAGAGGCTCCCGCCACCACCACTGTGCTCGCCAGCCGTGGGCCCGGCTTCTGGCTGAGCGGTGCTCCCCTGTGGGAGTGCACTGACCAGCAGGGGGCAGCTCCTGCGTTCAGCATCTGCCCCTGGTGGTCAGGGCGCGTCATAGCGACCGGCTGTCCCGCTGTGGGGTCAATTTGCACATTATCCTTTTATTATAGAGGCTTGTTCTTTTTCACTTAAATGATGGTCTGACGCAGGCGCGTTTCAGGTGTGAGGTGGGGGTGGGGTGGGACGGTGATTCTCCCGATGGAGTGCCTTCTCCTTTACTGGACACAGAGAACGTTCTCAGACGCCCGAGATCACGTCAATATTCCCACACCTGCGTGTCATTCTCTTTCTCAGGGACTCGCTGGGTCGAAGGCCTCCCGCAATCCCGGCCCCGCACTCTGCCATCACCGGGGTGCCCCCCGCCCCCCCAATACTGTGAGCAAACAGAAGGCGCCTGTAGGGCCGTCACCTGCTGAAGAAGGTCATCACGGCCTCGTGGGTGGGCAGCACCAGCAGCCGCGGGTTCACTTGCAGGTAGACCCACAGGAGCAGCGTCTTCAGAAGGTGAAACTCACTGAAAACGAACAGTCTGGGAAAAATGAAAGGCGGGGAGGACGTGTCAGGGACGGCAGGAACCGCGCGGTCAGGCACGGAGAGGGAGCAGCGCGTCTGGGAACGCGGCCAAGGCGCCCGGCCTGCAGGCAGCCCGGGGAAGGGGGTCTTTGGGGACCATCCGTGAGCCGCCTGCTTCGCCCAGAGCCGGGCACATGGCCACGAGCTCAGGGAACAGCAGCCCGAGGTCCACGGCAGGCGGGTCCGGGCTCCAGGGCCCACACGTGGCCTGGAGCAGCCTGGGGCCTCCCGAGAAACGAGGAGTAAGAGCGGCTGTCGCCAGCCGGCGCACGAAGTGGTTGGCGTCTCTGTTCGATCCCGGTCAGGGCACAGGCCCGGGTTGTGGGCTCCATCCCCAGTGCGGGGCGTGCGGGAGGCAGCCGGTCCATGGTTCCCTCTCATCATTGAGGTTTCCATCTCCCTCCCTCTCTGAAGTCAATAAAAATATATATTTTTTTTAAAAAGAGCGGCTGGGTCTCCTTATGTCAGCTCTGCCGAGTAAGGACGATTCCCAAACAGCTTCTCGAACAGCCTCTGGGACTCGACTATCTGAGAACTGGCCTCCGTGTTCCTAAACCCGTCATATTCCCGCCCTGACCGCAGAGGTGGCGCCGTGGCTTCACAATCTCACAGCCCTGCCCTGGCGGCGGCTCAGTTGGCTGGAGCGCCGTCCCCACCTGCCAGGGTTGAGAGGTTTTGGGTTCGCTCTCTGGTCAGGACACACAGGAATCAACCAATGCGTGCATGAATAAGTGGGCAACAAGTTGATGTCTCTCTCTCTCTCTCTCTCTCTCTCTCTCTCTCTCTCCCTTTCTTCCCTCTTTCTAAAATCAAGTACATAAATTGCCCTGGCCAGTTTGGCTCAGTGAACAGAAGCATCCCGCCTGCAGACTGCAGGTCCCGGGTTCGATTCCCGGTCAGGGCACAGGCCCAGGTTGTGGGCTCGATCCCCAGGGTGGGGCGTGCAGGAGGCAGCCCATCCATGATTCTCTCTCATCATTGATGTTTCTTCCTCTCTCTCCCTCTCCCTTCCTCTGTGAAACCCATTAAAATACATTTGAAAAAAATAAAGTAAAATCAACACATACATTAAAAAAGAAAAAGAAACAACATATCACCAGCTTTTCACCCGACACTTCCGTGGCCTCGGAGGGGGAACGCCAGCCAAGCCGTGGCTCCTAAGGGCCTGGAGCGTCACCGCCCACGTGTCTCGCGGTGTCTGGGCTCGGGCACCGCCGCCCTCCGGCTTGTGTTTAGCCACCACAGGGGCCTGGCTGTGGCCCTGGCCAGACAGGACCACACCTGTCACGTCTGGGCAGCGATGGTGAGCAGGAGGGCAGACGTCACAGGGCCACTTGTCTGCTGTCCTCACCAAGACCCCTGCCAGGACTCGCCACCCCTCGGAGGGCGGGCGAGCAGGGTGACTCTGGGCCGAACTCACGGGTGAGAGCCTCACGCCCAGAAGGTCCTTTGAGACCTTACAGACGGGGCAACAAGCGGGGGGTGAGAGCCCGGGAATCAGGGCCTGGTTTTGTTTGTATGAGGAAGGGTCAGTGTTGGGAAAGCCCCTGCCTTCAGCGCAGTAGCAGCCCCTAGGGGTGAGCTCCTGCAGGCGACGGCCAGGCTGAGGCCCGGCCGGCGTGGCTCAGGGGTTGAGCGTCGACTATGAACCAGGAGGTCCCTGGTTTGATTCCCGGTCAGGGCACAGGCCCGGGTTGGGGACTCAATCCCCAGCGGGGAGTGTGTGGGACGCAGCTGATGGATGATTCTCTCTCATCATGGATGTTTCTCTCTCTCTCTCCCTCTCCCTTCCTCTGACATCAATAAAAATACATTTTAAAAATAATAAATAAAGCAGGTGCCCTGGACGTCAGTGGGGCCAGGCGAGTTTACTTGGAAGATGTGAGTCAGGGCGCTGTTGGCCCGGCCACTGCAGGCGCGAGGGCTGCTGGCTGCCCAGCCCGCGAGGCTCTTGTCTCCTGGCACCCGAGAGCCGGGCAGCGGGCCGTGCAGACAGCAGCAGGGAGGGTCCGGGCAGCGGGACCCGGTTTCCACATCGGTCATGTTTCCCCGAACTTGAGTCTAGACACGGGCACGCAATGTCCCCGATTCCTGTCCCCCGCGTGTTTTCTAGTGCCCGGCCGTCCCTGGCGTCCTGGCTGCGGCCAGACGTCCCCCCTTTTCTCGGTGAAATGCTACGGCCGGCCGGCAGCTCAGTCCTTCCGAGGGCGGGGCTGCTATGGGACGGCTAGGACGCACTGTTTATCTCCTCTCCAGTTCGCAACTCTGCCCCCCGGAGGGCGGGGAGGGCACTGCGGGGAGGGCAGGGGGATGGGGCAGAACGGCCGGGGAGGCATCCTGGAACCCGGTGCCAGACTGTGCTGTAGGCGGTCTCGAGGCTCATCTCTAATCCTTATTTTTTAAAAAATATATTTTTATTGATTTCAGAGAGGAAGGGAGAGAGAGAGAGAAACATCAATGTGCCCTGACTGGGAATCGAACTGTGACCTCCTGGTTCATAGGTTGACGCTTAACACTGAGCCACGCCGGCCGGGCTGTTGGCAGAATTTTTTAAAAAATTACTGAGGCGCCCTGGCCGGTGTGGCTCAGTGGCTAGAGCGTTGGTCTGTGACGGAAGGGTCCCGGGTTCGATTCCCAGTCAGGGCACAGGCCAGGGTTGCAGGCTGGATCCCCAGTAGGAGCTGCAGGAAGCAGCCGATCCATGATTCTCTCTCATCATGTATGTTTCTCTCTCTCCCTTCCTCTCTGAAATCAATAAAAGTATTTTTAAAAAATGTACTTAGGTGATTAATTAA